ATGTTATACGGACTCCCAATGTATGACCCCATTTTTTATTATTCCCTTATGTGTTACGTGATTCAAGGGAGTCCAAAGTTGGCGCCTTAGGTGACTTCTACTGAGCGGTTATGCTCACCCCATTATTTTACTATTTTCAGGATATGGAAAGGAAGTGGCGGACGACAATCCACCATAAGTTTAGTATTGATTAGAAGACTGTTTTTGGTTACCTTTTATAGTTAAACACCATTCTGTAAAACCTTATTATAACATGTATAATTTTGTGACATCGGGGCTGTAATTGTAACCATTTTCATTTTGTTGTAACTTAAACTAAAGGGTTATGGCCATTGAAGCATGTAATAGACTTCTTTTTTTTCCCTCTTCCTCGCATCCAGGTATTCCTTTACGGTTAGTCGACTACCATACAGGGGTAGTCTACTTGGGGTTAGCTGACTACCATACAGGGGTAGTCTATTAGGTACCATTTAAACTGAAATAACAAAAAAATAAAAATATAAAATTTTCCTTATATTCACATGCTGGACCTTTATAATTAGGGTCATTCCACCAATGAGTACTAGAAGGATCTGTGAATTGTACTAGTTATATCTTATCCTTAAAAATGACAGCATTACCCCTAGATGATCTCGGGTTTGGGTAAGGACCCGGTTAGCGATTCGGATACTCGGGTTCGGGTCGCTACACTTTAGTTAAATCCTAACTTCTATAGGATTATTTCTGCCTTAATATTCTTAAATCTAGAACGGGGCCTTCAGTTAGATGCATTTAACCTTTTCTTTTGCTATAAAGTGATTAGGACCAGTAAAAATGGCGTTCGGTACCATCTCCATCCTATTACTGATCGAAAAATTTGCACTGACACTTCTGATTCGAACAAGAAATGGAAGAAGAATCCTATTGTTATTCGGGGCAATTGGAAGTCCCCTCAGACCCCTTTTCCTACCATACCCAGAGAGTTCAGGATGAGTGCCCTTCCAACCTTCACTCCATATAAAACACATATATATGAGTGCACGTGTCAAGAGTGTCTTCCACACTTTTGTGGTTTTCTTGCCCATCACTTGGGATTTTTTTCTGACTTCTTTGATTTCGAGATTTGCAAAGCGAGGCTTAGGATTCTGCTGCAGTTGTCTGTTTAGAACAACATCCCTAAAGCCTCAATTTTCTTAACATAAGTGGCTTTAAAGAAAATTACAGTTGTAGCAAGCCAAATCTTACCAATGGAAGATACTCCAATTCCCACCTTTGGCAGGGCAAGGAGGAATGAAAGGCTTGCATTTGTTGACCTGAATGGCTTTCCTATCCCTCATTCTCTTTCTGCCTCCACCCAGACGACCTCCACTCAGGCTACCGTCCCCTCTTCTGCCATTTTTGATAAAGCCCTAGGCAAGAGGGTTGTTGAAGGAGATGTGAGGGGTGATGACAAGGGGTCAAGCCAAAGGCGGAAGGGAGCCAAGGGATAGTGATCAGAAAGTGCCGTTCAGATGAACCCCCTCAAAATCCCGATGTCGTCTATCCCAATGCCGAAATTGTTATCCCCTTTAGGCCAGTTTTCATTAGAGATGATAGCTCCATGGTGTCTCTTGATGACACCATGTTCAGGGATGGGCCTACTACAAGAATATGTGGACTCTAAAGGACTTGGAGGCTAGGTTAAACTCAGCAGGGAGGAGATTTTTAGTTGGATCCTTCTTGAAGCAGTTGAGGTATGCCTTGCCCCTTCTCTTCTACTTTAATTCATAAATTCTTTTTGGGGATTAACCCATTGACTCATTTATTTTAACTCTCTAGATGCCTTTATTAGCCTTGCAGACTTTGTTCGGCATTACAGCTATGCAAAGGACGATTGAGCAGAGTGACAAAACGGTCAGTCAGTTAGCCTCCCGAGTAAAAAAGGATGAGGATGACCTGAAGGGTGCTTAGACTCGGGTTTGACTTACCAAAGAGAAGTTTACTACTGTAGACAATGCTCGAGCTGAGTTGGTTGGTCAGCTAGAGGCAGAGAGGGTTGCTCAGCTTGCCTTGGAGCAAAAGAATGATGAGCTCAATGGAGAGATAGTCTGTCTTCTTGAGCTCCTGAGCAGAGTGAAGACGGGGAAAAAAGCCATGCACGAACGGTTTTCCCAGATTGGGGCTGTTTGCTTTACCAATGGTTATAGAGACAGGTTTATAAACCACAGTAATTTGACTGACCCTGGTGATAAGCGCTGAAATGTGCACATTTAAACCCCTTAATCATGAATGTTCTAGGACCTTTATCTATCTTATTTTCCCGTTTTAGTCTAATTTCATGTTATTCCCCTTTTCAGACACTTATCTCTAAAACATGTAAAATCAGTTAAATTAGAGCACTGGAGGAAGCAATCTAAAGTCTAGTTAAAAAAAAGGAGCAAAGTGGAAACAAAGTGGTGAAAAAGTCCTCTATGATTAATCGAACAGGGCCATGATCGATTGCACTACGATCGTTCCAACCATGCCATGATGGATCGAACCTCTTGTCCTTATCCTCAGGAAAATTTCCTTTTCGATCGATCCAACCTTTCCTTCGATCGATCGAATCTTTTGATCTTATCTTCACCAACCACTTTTGTCCTTTTCCCATAAATATCTCAGCCTTGTCCTTATCCAAATAAATGCACCGCCTTACTTCGATCGATCAGAGCAACCATGTGATCGATCGAACTGCCTCAAAATGCGTGAAAAACAGATTTCAAGCTGAATTGAAGGTGTGCTAGTGGTGTAATCATTTGGAGGTCCTAGTGCACGAGGTCTGACCATTGGGTGTGACATTTGAGTTACCTATATAAGGAATTTGGTTATTTTTAGCATGTAGGTGGGTTAGTTTAGAGATTGGCTAGAGATTAGAGAGAAAACATTACATTTTTGGGAGAGTTCTTCATTCTTTTAGGGTTTCCACTAAGAACACCAAGGAGAAAGATGAATTTAACCATGGAGGAAGCCCTTGAGGGTTGGGTGACACCAATCATGAGTGGCTAGACTATTCTCTTAGGGTTAGAGATAACCCTAAGCATACTTCCTAGACTTTGATGATTGTAATTAATGGGGATTTGGTTTGTAACTATTGTTTTGAGCTGTTTTATATAAATCTTGTTTTTACATGATTTGTGTAGTTTAATACTTCCAATTGATCTTTTAATTCTATTCATATGTCTATGTATATTGGAATGAATGGTCATATGCTTTACACTTGATTCTTTACACTTGATGCATGTCTATGTATATTAAATTGATGAGTCTAGTGTGGGTCAAGGCATGGTGCTTAATGGATTACTCTTGTGGTTTATTTGATGGTTCATACTTATTTCTTGATGGATTATACCACATCCTTAGTTTAATTAGTTTAATTTTCATGTCATTAGCATAGTTGTAGTTTAATTGTCTTAATTACCTAGATAGGTGGACATTCCATTCTTGTTGTTTGATGATCCATGCTTATGAGTACAAGTAGTATATTTCTCTAGATTGTTAAGTGTGCATTGATTGTGGGCTTATGGAAGGATTAATGGCTTAATTTGATATATTGTGCTATCCACTTGATTGTTTGGACAATGTATGCTTACTTGGCCATCCAAGTTTATCAATCCAATCAATTGCACACACCTTGTTTACAACATATAATCTTCCTAATTTATCAAATGTTGAATGTCTAGAAAATCAATGCTTAGTGATGAACTCTATGTCCCAAGAACCCTCTCTCATTCTCTACATCTCACTTATTTTACTTGCTTTATATTGCATTACTTTAGTTTACATTGTAGTATAATTAAACCCCTTTTGATTATTCGACCTACTAATCTAACATTAATTCCGGAATACCTTCTCTTTCCCTTGGGACGATCCCTACTCACTCTTGTTACTTTAGTAGTTAGTAGTGATAGTGGTATTTTACAAATTTAAGTTTGGCCACAATCTTTATCGCACTTTGAGTGTTGGTTGTCAATCGCGCAGTCACCTGGTAAGGTGTATGATGGACCGAATGACTGTGAACAGAATCTGAAGATTGACCCTCTTGGTACTTACGTGAATCCTCTTCCTGATGATCTTGAAGAGGTCTTTGTCGAATGCAAAAAGGTAGTTGAGGCTGCAGATGGCTCTCTGACCCTTCGTTCTCCTTCTACTGGGAAAGGACGGACCTGCTCCTGTTGCTCCAACCCTTCCTACCCCCTGATGGATCTGATGAAGTAGAGATCATAGAGGATGCAACCTAGCTTTATGGCCCCTTTACTTTATTTTTTCCCTTACTTCCCTTTTTTTTTTTTTTTTTTTTTTTAAATGTAATTGAAGAGAGGGATGCCTATTTGTACTTGAAATGAATTAATAAAAGAGTTTTTTTGTTGAATCCAGAGATCTTCAATTCTTGTTTGAATTTCTTGCTAAGTGTTTTTGTTTGAAAATTTTTCTAAGTGTTTGGCGTCATATTTGTGTTTACAATTAAATTTCAATTTTGTTTGAAAAATTTTCTAAGTGTTTGGCGATTGGCCACTCTGCCACTTCACTTTTATTGAATTTTTTTTAAGTGTTTGGCATTCTCCCTTCATAGAGTCTCTACGATTTGCATCAGGTCATCGTGCCTAACCTGTTGGTTCTCTTCTTGCTGGCGGGAGCCTTCATCTCCAATCATAGCTCTCGATCGGAGCTATGTCATTCGTTGCTGAAATTAATGAATCATTCTATCTTTCCCATAGACGGCGCCAGATGAAGATGCAAGAAAAATCACTCTCTATATATAGGAAATATTTTATCACACTCCAAACAATTTGTCTCTCTTTCTTTTTCTAGCTTCTATTTATAGAAGCCTATATTTGCCCTAATTTCTTATGTTTTGCCCCTAGGTTAAAGATTGATGGTCTTCTTCCTTGGTGGAGTGATTCACTTACACCAAACATGCCCAAATAGAGGCCCACTTTCACTATTTTTGACTAAACACCAATTGGGCTTGAACTATGGATCCTTCAGATGGTGAGCTGCCTAGTCGGTCGGGTCTATTGGACTGCACCTAGCCCAGCCTACGCTTGTTCACATTTCCCAACCCTTCAGATATTTAGACAATCTCAGAAAAAAGATAGTGTAATTATCCTTTGGAATATATTTTTTTTTATGCCTTTTATACAATGAATTTTTTTTTTTTCGAATTATACAATGAAGTTAATTCAAAAAAAAGAAAGAAAGGGCATGCTTACTTTTTTTCTTATTATTATTATTTTTTAGGTGATCTTGAACTTGGGTTAAATGTTGATTCGGAAATTTTATCGACCACACTGTCTTAATGATACTGAATCCTCTATTTTCGTTTAATTAATAACGCATTAATATGACCTTACAATTCCGAAAAAATAAAAAATAAAAAAATAATATGATCTTCCAAGAAAAAAAGAAGAAGGTAATTACTACGTGTTACTTTGCACGGCGTCGTTCTTGTGCAAAATGCATTTCTCTCTCTTGGATTTCCTTCTCTCTTCCCCATTCAAAACCTCTTCATTGCACTCATTTTAAATCTAAGAAACCCAAATCGATTCAATTCTCTTTACCCATATTTTTCTTGGTTTTTGATTGTTGTGAATAGAAAGAGATCGTGCGTGAGGGAGTCCCAAGGTTTTCAATTGGAGTCCGCAGTTTGAGTTCGTCGGCATTAGTCGGGTTTGCCGCCTCCACCGCCACATCGCCACCATAGCCGGCGGTGGCACTCCTAAGGGTCTTCTTTCACTTCTAGGTACGTTTCATTTGCGAAATCGTTTTACTGCTAGAACATAATTGATTTATTTATTTATTTATTTTTAAATTTTAAAATTGCTTGCATGTTGAACTGATATACATCACAAAGTTTCACAAGGTAAAAATTGTAAAATTGCTTAAATGGTTTTGGATTGATCTGAATGAAGACATTTTATTTGAAATTGAAGATTGTTGGAAGCAATAACATAAAATAATGAAACGGCTATCATCCTCCTTGTACTCTCTAAGCCATTTTCTACCCTGTAACATGTAATAGAATTGTGCTAATTAATTAGTATTATCACCTAAGGCGTTTTGACTTTCATGGAGTTGAGACCAAATTGCAATAGAGTGTGTGGACCAAACGGTGGTGGATAAATTAAGAGGGTCAGTTGTAAAGTATGTTTTGTGACGGAACATGTAGAGAGGATCAAGTACATTGTGTGGAGCAAACGGATTGTCGATAACAAGTTGCAGTAGATTGTGTAAAGTTGGAGCATTAGGTGCATCAAGTAACAACATCCATTCCAGCCACCTGCTACACATAGAGAGCACAATCTTAATATAGACATGCATCAAACCAGGAAATTCCCAGCTAGAACTATCAGGTCCAAGCATCCAAATACTATCCTCCAATGCTCTTCTTTAGATCAGATAAGCCAATCCCCATAGTGCCACAAACCTAAAAAATAATTGATTTTGAAGCATTTTAAGAAATTCCACTATGTAACCTTCCATTTTTTCTTTGGACTGCCCCTATCATGAACCAACTTGATCAACAGTTTCAAATTGCCTCCATTGCCAATTTAGAAAATCAAACATTCCTATCCAAACTTGCTGAACATAAGAACATTTGACAAACAGATGGTCTATTGAGTCACCATCGTGCATGCAGTTAAAACATACAGGTACTACAATCATTCATCTCCTTTTAAGGTTCGATAAGGAAGGAAATTTATTTTGAATCATTAAACAAGTTGTACTACTAGCAGCAGGTCTGCATCTATTCCTGATCAAGAGATACCAATCTTTTTTTGAGTAAGGAAAACTGCGGCAATTTCAAAAGGCTTTAAAGGAACAGTTACTTTTTTTTTTCAAAGAGATCAAGCCTGGGCCATGGTGAATCTCAGTAGAAGAAATCTGATCCCTTGTGAGTTTTTTTTTTTTTTGGGTACTCACACACACGTGCCTCCACCGAGGTTCGAACCCCTGAACTTTGGGAAGTAGGAGCCTAGTACCGCTAGACCACTAGCCTGTTGGTGATCCCTTATGAGTTCTGCAGCTGAATCTAGGAATTAGGCCTCACCCACCTGCCGTCTTGAAGAATACTACACAGATCAGCATCTTTAGGGATATCAAATTGCCTCTCAATATTATGCCCAAATATTTGAATTAGAGACGAGCCTTTCCACCAAGGGTCAAGAAACAGATTTAATGATTTATCATCACCAATTTTGAATTCTAAGTTTGCAATTAAAATCTGTATAACCTCAATTAAACTTTTCCAGTTTCTAGAATGATGATTTTTTGGAACACAATACCAAACAGATGGTTTATGTAGATTCATAGCTTTGATCCAAGCTATCCACAGTCTTTGTTTTGTATAAAATCCCAAAGCAATGCACACTTTGCAGCCTTGTTTATATTTGCAACCTTCCTTATCCCAATTCCCCCTTCAGCTTTTGGTCTGGTAACATCATCCATTTCTTCAAATGAAGTTGTCTGACATTTAAACAGCTTCTCAATTTGCCCTATAGCAGCCATTGGCAATTTGAAAGCATGAAGCTACTGTTTTCAATAATTCCACTCTACCAGCCAAGGAAACATTTAAAGAACTCCAGCTATTCAGTTTTGCAATCCCCATTCGTAATCCCTTCGTCTGTCATCAGTAAACCCAAGTATATGATGGGGAGAGTACCCATTCTCATGTTTATCATTATAATAATTCTTCACTTCCTTCTCACTGAGTTGGAGAAATAAACTCGACTCTTTTCCACATTCACAGCAAGCCAAGATAATTTTTTGAATATGTCAAGACAATTTGAAATACTTCTATTAGATCCCATATGAGCTTTTGCTACTATAAGCAGTTCATCAACATCGAAGCAATGAAGGAAACCAATGCGAGCTTTTTTAACTGGAGCGCAAGATTGAAATATACTTTACCTCAGTTTGCATTTGAAGCTGATAATAGCTCATTAGGTCTTAAGAACTTGAAATTTACACATTTACAATACATGGTTAAGCATTCGATTGGTCAAGTCTAGCCTTCGTTCAATTTCTTAAATCTTGCTTTTAGATTATAAGAACTTGGACGCCAAAAATTATAGTGTTGCAGTTAAGCGTTGAATTTGCGAAGTCGGGCATTCAAATATGTGGGTGTTGATCAGCATGCCCTAAAAAAATTGGGATATATATATATATATATATATTTTTTTTTGGATAAGTAAAAATATATTAGAAAAACGTTCAAAAGGGGAATGTGTCCCTAATACACAAAAATGAAAGAGCAAAAGCCAAACCTACGGACCAACAGAGTCCAATAGAACAAAAAAATCATCAATCGAGGAGCAAGCGCTGCCTCTAACATAACAGAAAAGAGAGCGAAGAATAAGAGACTTAAGGTTTGCAAAAGACGATTCCTTCCCTTCAAAGTTTCTGTTATTTCGCTCTTTCCAAATACTCCACCAAACACAATGTGGGGAGACCCTCCAAAAATCACGAGCATGACCAGAAACAGGGCAGCTTCTGCAAGCGTTAATTAATTGGAAAGAGTGCTTAGGCATTACCCACTGAACGCCAAAAATACTGAATATGAGATTCCAACAATCAGATGCAACAGGACAATGCATAAGAAGATGGTTCACGGACTCACCATCAGCTTTACAGAGATAGCACCAGTTAACAACGGTATTACCTCTCTTACGCAGATTATCCAATGTTAGAATTTTCCCCAGGTAGCAGTTTAAACAAAGAAGGCAACTCTAATAGGAGCTTTAGAGTGCCAAGTACACTTCCATGGGAAATTATGTCCAATAAAATTAGACAAACACAAGAACATGGATCGAACTTCGTATCTACCATGAAAAAAGGGGGTCCACAAAAGATCATCACAACCTCTGCCAACATCCTTCTGTCTATACAACAGGTCCAAAAAGACGCAAACTTCTGCTATCTCCCAATCCTGAAAAGAACGCCTAAAACGTACATCCCACGTAACTCCATTGTTATCAAGATGATAACAATCAATTACATAAGCATGCTTATTCTCGGCAATGCTAAAGAGACGAGGAAAGGAAAGAGACAACAACTGATCACCACACCATAAGTCTTCCCAAAATCTTACATTCATACCATTACAAACCTTGAACTGAATATGGGTGGAAAACACAACCCAACCTTTTCGAATGAACTTCCAAACGTCAACGCCCCCCAATAATAGAAACAGGACGAGAGGACCAACCTCCACTCTCCTCCCCAAAATGACACGAGATAACTCTTCTCCATTGTCGATGATGCTCTTTACCGAACCTCCATAACCACTTCCCCAATAAGGCTCTATTAAAAGGGACCAACTTTCGGATACCTAACCCGCCAAACTTCAATGGTTTGCAAACCTGCTCCCAATTAACAAGATGATACTTAAACTCCTCTCCTTTTCCACCCTAAAGAAAATCTCTCTGAATTTTTTCAATTCGTTCAGCAACAGAGCACGGAACAGAGATAAGAAATATGTGGGAAGGGACGAGAGGGTGATCTTAATAAGAGTGACCTTCCCCCCTTTCGAAAGATACTGTTTTTTCTATCCCGTTAATCTTTTTTCATACTTGTTAATCACTGGATCCCAAGTCCCCACTCTACTGAGATTCCTAAAGGTAATCCCAGATAAGGGAGTGGAAAAGCATCCACTCCACACCCAAGAATAGCAGCTAAAGAGGAAATATTAGAAACCTCCCCCACTGGGACAAGCACACTCTTTCCAACATTAATCTTAAGACCAGACACTGCTTGGAAGCATGTAAGATTGCACCTCAAATACCTGAGTTGGGAAACATCAGCGTCACAGAAAACCAAGGTATCATCTGCAAACAACAAATGGGATATCTCAATCTGGTTAGCAACATCTTTGCCAATAGTGAATCCCCTTATGTACCCCAAATCCTCTGCCTTTTTCATTAATCTACTCATTCCCTCCGTGACAATAAGGAAAAGAAAAGACGACAAAGGATCTCCTTGTCTCAAACCACGCGAGCTCGGAAAAAAACCAACAGGAGAGCCGTTCACAAGCACAGAGAACATTACTGACGAGATACAAGATTCAATCCATTTTATCCATCGATCCCCAAACCCCATTCTTCGAAGCAAGTAAAGAAAAAATTTCCTATTCACGTGATCATAAGCTTACTCGATGTCAAGTTTGCATAATACACCAGGAACTTCACTCTTAAACCCGGAGTCGACACATTCTTCTGCGATAAGAACGGAGTCTAAAATCTGTCTACCAACAACAAAAGCATTTTGTGACTCTGAGATAATTCCATCCAAAACATTTCGCATTCTAAGAATAAGGACCTTGGCAATAAGCTTATACATACACTCCACTAGACTGATTGGCCGGAAGTCCTTAATTTCAGAGGCGTTGCCCTTCTTAGGAATAAGAGCAATGAAAGATGCATTTAATGATTTCTCAAATGTGCCATGAGAATGAAATTCCTGAAAAGTGCCCATTACCTCATTACGCACCACCTCCCAGCTCTCCTTCAGAAACCGCATAGTGAATCCGTCTGGCCTGGAGCTTTATCACCATTACAACTGGATAACGCCTTGAGAACTTCCTCTTCAGAGAATGGAACCTCAAGCATATCACTATCCAGCAAAGAAATAGCATCGAAATGCCAACCATCAAGTTTTGGTCTCCATTCCAAAGTCTCGGTATAAAGCTGCTGATAAATAGAAACAATACCCCCACGCACCTCATCTTCTTTCCGTAACTCTAAA